TAATCTAACCTCCATTACCGTCACATTATAAAACAATAATAATCAATTTGAAAGCTATAGAACAGGTCATGATTAAAAACTTCTTACTTAATTTCTACGAAGATGCATCATCATTATCCGTACTTAAAAAGTACACTCAATTTTTTCATGATATGACTACACGCATTAAATTTTTTCTATAATAATGAGAATTTGAAATCTAATCACGAAGGGACAGATCGAAATTGAGTAAAAAACGCTACTAAGTTATGAGGCCTTTTAGCGCCAGACTCGATAGTCCTTTTGTCGATATATACTAAAATAACAAGCTTGAATTTATTTTAAGTAAATATCTTTTAAGTTTTAATTATACTCCTCTCCAAAAAATGTGAGTACTGATTTATTTATAATTTTATGAATTAATTAAAAACAGACATAAATAAGACCTGAAGTACAAAAATTTTAGTCACATTCCAAAAAAATCTGTGATTATTTTCGATTAAATTGCTGTTAGTGTATTTACTTTGACTTGACGGATATTTTTACCTTAACGACGGCTAAAAATATAAAAATTTTCTAGCATAGCTATTTGTAATGTTGATGTTATTATGTTATTTTTAACGAGTTTTTCTCCTATTTTTGTTTATTCTAAATAAAAAAATGTTGAACCAAAATTTACTAATTGTCAGTGTTATTTTGCAATTATTAAGTGATTTACAAAAATAGCAAACTGTCATGTAAATATAAACGCACGAGATACATTAATTTATTTTATTTTTACACACAGAAATTGGTCGATTACATAGATCATTTGATTAAATTAACGATGTACTATTTTCAAATTTTGAATTAAAATTTGAATATGTATTTTTAGCAAGAATTCTGATGACATTTTTATTAAGAGTTAAATAATATTAATTATCAGAATAACATATTAGTCTTCAAAAAATTATTTTTACAGAACTGTATGTATAATTTATGGGCGCAAGTACACTATTTTAAAAAATATTTTCATAATAAAATATTATGATTGTGAACTAGAAAAAAATTTGTATTGATCTTTATATTACCAATATAAGTTTGTTACTCGATAAAGGCAGTAATTGAAGTACTCTGTGTATTTAATTACCTGGGCAACCACTTATTGTAGTCGCTCAAAACTAAAACAAGGCTCTTGAACATCAGAGTTGTCCTTAAAATTTAGAGACCCAGAGCAAAAATAATTGTTACAATAATACAAATTTAGGTCAGTTTTTTAACAAGGTCCTAATTTAACAAAAAACTGGGGCAGTATCTTCAGGACGTCTATATAATTTTATAAATTTGTAAAATTACATTTAAATGGTTGAGACTAAAAACTGTTGATTATTAAAAATACCATATATGTATATACATAGAACAAAAATAAATAATGTGTTAACCCTTCAAAGTAAAACAAACTCAACACAGTGATGTCACGGTTGGGTAGGGGATGTGGCAAAGTTGGGTAAAATATAATGATATCTGACGGTAATTATAATCATTATCATAAAAAACGCTTAGTTGCAAATCTGTAGATAGTGTTTAATTTTGAAAAATTGGTGAATTATTCCAAAGGCTATATGATCTACTATCTCCTTATTTATATCCTAATTAGAAGTTTTATGATTTACAAGTGTAATATATAAATAAATATATATTTTTCAAAAATTTATAGCATTATAAAGTTAAAAATATAAAAAAGAAGTTTTTACAAAAAACATTTTTTTATTAACTTTGAAATCTGTTTTCACCATGAAGACAAAATAAAGTCCGAAATTTTTTTTTTTAATATTAAAGAATATCACATAAGCTTTTATTTAAGATATATGTATAAAAGTGTTAGAGTTTCCGAAATACTTTCAAAAGTTAAGTTGAAAAAGTTCATTTTTTGTGATAAAGTTGTCATTTTGAATCCCCAATTAAAAAAAATTGTAATTTTTTTGGAGATTTCCCCCATTTACAGAGAACGAGGGAAATTTTTTCAATTTTTGAGGGTAATGTCTTCGACTAAATACGATTTGTGATCTTTTGACGTATCGTTGACAGAAATCGGTTTGGTGAAAGCTGAGAAAAAGTGGAACAGACACACAAAAAAAAAACACATCATAGTAAAATTAATACATTTTCAGCTTCGCATCGAAACTAAAATTTGAACTTGAATAAAATTGTATTTTATAGCAATTCCAGTAGTGGTTCTTTACTGAATATGAAATTTTAAGCAACTTCTGTAAACATGCATATTGCAATTTCATACAGTCAAGGGTAAATCAAATTTAACTAACATTAACAGTTAAATTATTATTTTACAATTAATTTGAAATACATTTCACTTACTTTAGTTCTATTATTGTATTTGAAATAGAACAATAAATTGTGATATTTACAGTTGAGTATACTTACAAAGAAACAAGTAACATTTATTGTGCATATAAGTTAAAAGATTTTGTACCAACTAATACAAAGCAAAATATGAATAGAATTTCACAGGCATCGAACAATTAATTATTATAATCATGTAAACATTATTATAGCAAGGAAAATTGGTTTGTTTTTAATTTTTTTTTATAAACAACAATTTTATATCAAATTATATAATTCAAACAACGTGATACTACAAAATAATAACAATTTTCCTTTGACAATTTACTATTTGTACGAAGTTCTCGTATTCACAAACACGTGTTTTTTATTTAGTCAAACGTAGCAATAATATGAAGCCTTAAAGTATCTCAGTAGGCTCCTAGTTAAATTGCTCACTACCTTTACACCAACACCCACGTAAAAATGTATTTTACAAAAACATTTACGTTCATTCATAAAACCGTTTTTTTTTTATATCGAATTCGAAAACAAAGAAACTTTTAATTGAAATATAATTTCCTTATGTTAAAACTTTTTACTGAATTGTAAAAAAATTGTATGGCGAAAATGAATATTTTTACAAGTTCAGTTATCATGTACAATTATTGTATCTATATAACTTAATGAAAAAAGTTTTTACAAAAAGTTAAAACGAGTAAAACTCCTCGAATAGTCACATTCAGTAATTTTTTCTAGTTTCTTATACAGCTAAAAATACTTCAAAACTAAAACACGTAGGCAGATGTTTGCAATCAACTAACTAATGATAGTTTATAATTGAAAATTAAATTATGCCATGCTGAATTTGTTTATTCAATTTTTAGACATAATTTTATTAAAAACATACGTTTTAAAAAAATTATTTTTTCACCTCTCCGCCACCATATTTGTACTTTAGAGAGGCCTTTTAATTTAGTAAGCTAGAAATTTATGTAATTGACATAAGAGTTCTATTCATCATTAAAAATATTAATAAATTAACTAACAATAGGATATATTTTTGAAATAAATAACTTTTATAACATAATCGTTGACAGGTTATTTATACTTAAAACATCGAAAATTTCAAAATTTGCGTTGGACTTATGAGACATTTTAAAAATTTTAAACTGTTTACATAAGTTTTACACAGGTTTTTTTCAACATGTTTCTTAAAAATCCTAAACGTTAGTAAAAAAAAATCAATTTCAAATTTCACAGCTTATGAACATAATAATATAATATCAAAAAATTTTTTAGATAGTGAAAACTTATAACTCAAAATAGTTTAACTTCCGACAACTTATTAGAATAATTTTTGTGCGATTTGAACTTTATTTTTTCGACATGTGCCATCAATCACGTGCTCATCATGAATACCAAAAAACATTATACTAGTTACTAGAGTAAAGATAGCTGTTACAACGTCTGCATTCAATGATAATTAAATTTAATGATAAAAAAATATTAACAGCTGTTGATTATTGACAAACATATCACATTTTAGTTTGTTATACAGATAATGTAAAAAAAAATATTGAATTACAAATTAATTTTTTAAGCGCATAATATTTCTCATTACAATAATTTCAAGTCCTCAATAATTTCTGAAAAATGTTGTATATTACCCAACTTTGATCACTCTATCATATTAATTGCATATTCATTAAATTTTACTATTTTTTTTTTAAATCTAATAGACTTGAATATTTTCACAGATATAATTTTTGTCGCATTCGTTTAATTTAAAATAAATTTAAAGCATACAGTTTTTTTTCGGAATTAAAAAAGTTTGACGCAATATGACAGGATTTTGAAGCAATGAAAGTACAAGAGATGAAGGAAATTGCTTAGGAGAGAGAGAAATAAATAAATTTAATGTTGGCGGCAAAAACTCTTACAGATTTATGAATGTAAGTTAAAAAAGTAGAGAAATCATTTTTCGGAATATGACAAAAAAATTATTTTTACAATAACATTACAATTTTTGAACCTATTCTTTACATAAGTTAATGATTGTAAATTGAAAAATAACCTTTTATTTGTATACCATAAGAAAGATAGATATCTATAATACTATTATAAATATTATGATCATAACAATTTTCTTCTATTTCAAACTTATTTACACTATATTTATTATTACACTTATTCTTAAAACTATTTTTTTTTAAATAATAATTTTGCGAGCAAAAAAATTGAATCTTTTTTTTTTAATGTACATGTTGGTATCGTGAATTTGTTATAATTCGATTCTCGTGACGCATTGATCGACAATATTTATACAAAAGAAACCCAGCATTTGTAATGTCACACACAGTAAAAAACACTTCAGCTTCACATGAGAGGTCTAAAAAAATAATATCAACACCAAGAGACTATGTAAATACTACGCGGTCATAAGACTAGACGCACAGCGTCAAAACGCTGCAGCGACGTCACGGCGTACGGTGACGTCACGGCCAACACGCAAGCAGCGACCTGAGCCATTATCCTCTCGAAAATACACTTTTTTAGCCGACCAACGTTCGGATCTGCGACGGCTGAGGCGTTTCGTCGTATACGGAGTCGCCTTGGGTCCGCCGCCTACGGAGACGACGACGCCACCGCACAGCGACTCTGCGGAACTCGTCATCGTTGTAATGCCAGCGAGTGCGTGTGTTTTGGTTTGTTTGTGTGTAGTAAAAAAGTCGCCGGCACCCTTCAAACGCCGATCAGAACGTATAGGTGCGTCGCGCGTTCTACACCGTAACCGACGCGACGACAACGAATTCGTCGTTACCGTCCGTTCGTGTGTACGATTCCAATTTTTTTATGTTCGTTCGTCCGCCGCTCGTTTTATTTTTTTAGTGTTTCTTCCGTTGCCGCCACAGTCGTTCGTTGGCCCGGTAGTACAAACGGATGTCGGTCCATGCGCATTATTAAACATGGCACCGGCGGCGGCCGTTGTACTTTATCGGCGGCTTTGGCGACAACTGCTGTGCTCGGGATATGAGAAAGACTGGCGTAGTGGTTGGTGGCGAAGACGACGGTGAACGGGACGGTGTGCGCGGTAAATCCCTGCGGCACCGGACACGTCAACGGGACGGGCCGGCGACTCGGCCGGACGAACAAGAGGGGAGGCTGCGCGCGGAAGGACGTCGGACGGAAGGAGAGCGTCTGCCTCCGCCGCCCACGTCCACCATCACTAGCGGAGCCCTGCAGAGACTACAGCAACAAACCACCGGCACCGGTTGCAGGGACACTGCGGACGATTGGTTGTTTGGTGATTGGCTGGACGGCGGTGGACCATCAACAGGTATGTCTATGTCTGACCCGCGCCCGCCCGCATCCCACAAAACGTCCCTTTGCCCGCCGCATTCGGATTACCGCGAGTGCCTTTCCCGCTGTCGACGCGAATCCGAAGAATGCCAAAAACGCTGCGGCTCGTGTCCCAAATGCCGTTTATTTATCGCTGCCGCTTTTAAATCGAACAAACGGCCGTGTCGTCATTATCGACAAATTAATTACACGCCGAAACCTTTGCCAGCCAACGCCAACGACTTTTAGACCTTTGAATAATTGTCAGTGGTGTATAGATACCGGTCGCCGTAACCATTAAAGTGAAACTATTTTACAGCATTGTGTTAAAATTCGTTGATTAATTCCGATCCGAATTTGAGGTCATGTGGACACAGCTGAAATGAATGAAACACGACAGTAGTAATTCCGACTGCACGTTGTAGTTCCCCTAACATTTCCATCACTTGCAATTCCATTACAATCGTACGCTTTAGGGACATGTACTCCGTGTAAACACTAGAACTTTTTTTTATAACGTTTTGGTCCCAACCAGAGTAAGTCATTACAATAAAAACACTACCAAATTAATTTACACACTGCGACCGACGATGATAACATTAATGAAGAACCAGTCATAACATTATTGTAATTCAATCTTCATGGGCGGTGCGATTATCCCGTGAGTCTGAGGTGCACTGCTGATTGAAAGTAATTTTCGTATACACAAACTCTTTACTAAAGACCACAACACAGATAAAATCGCCGGATTACGGTACCTTTTTGTTTTTCTAATACACACATACACGACGTTTAAGCCCTCTGGGGTTTCTCCTGGTCGAACGGCCGAGCGTGCAACATGTGTGTGCCAGCGAAACATAATTACTGTTACTAGTATTTTATAATTGATTATGGCATCAGTGTGTACGTACGTACTTCGGTTTGTAAATAGTTTAGAAGAAAACGCTAGAGGGTGTACTCACGTTGTTCTTTTCCCGTTCACGTCATCCACCGCACGGATTTGTCCCGACTATTATTAAAAATACAAAGAAATGTGGAAACTATTCCCATACTTAACAATTGGAAACGACTTCACGTGTCCCAAACGAAAACTCAAAAGTGCTATTTTCCCATATTACACTTTTCCATATCTCAAGTCACTTTCTAAACTGAGAAACGTCTAGTAACACTCGTCGAGTGAAAAAAATTCGTGTTCGCTTAATAGGGACCGTATAGGGCTAATCTATTGATTAGATTTGTTGGACCCGAATATTTTTACCCAAAATTAATCAATTTTTGATCAACTAGGATGATATATTTTGCAACACAATTTATCTTATTTAATGTACAGGAGCATGTCTTCAGCCCACACGCGTTCAATACTATCCGCTGTATCTGCTCGCGTCCTTCTGACACAAGTACACCGTCCGTAAGTTTTGTCCCTCGACATAAGTAGTTTGAGAATAAATTTATTTAAAACAAATTGAAAATAATAGTATATAAATTGCATACTTCATTCGAAGTATATAATTATTTATTGGCAACGTATACTATTATTTTTATTGAAAGTATACACCCTGCGGTTTTTTTTTTAATTTTTGAGGCCCTTGATAAGGTTTATAATACAACGCTGTTTTCTAAAAACATTTTTATACGCGCATAAAAGAAAGAAAGGAAAACAGGTATGGCCATGTATATCTTTATATGGCAGTGTACGCGCCCGATCGCGGAGGGCCTGTAAACCTAAGGTGTCCCGAGTGGGCGACACTGTAATAACAGGTGAACACTGTAATAATCGGTTTATAAACTCAATTTAGAATCCGGTGTGTTGCGGATAATTAAAATCATTTATGATCCGGTTGAAACGTGTTCGTATGCCAAACGCTGAACTCATACAACTTTTAACGTCAAAATACCTTAAAAAGAAGTGTCATAAATTTTATATGCATAATTCAAGCTTTGATTTATTTTCAAAACTTTGTGTTGCCTTATTGGGTTAAGTAAACGTTTTTTTATATATCTCTAAATCTTTATTTTTAAGACGTAGTTAAAATATGTAGCCTGTTGGAAATTATTCGGATAGTTAAAGAATTAATTAAGAACTAAACGTCAATTGGGAAAAATAAGTAAAACGAGTACTTTTCCATTGTCATTTATGTATTTTTATCATTGAATTTTTTAATTTTAATAACTTGTATACATATTAATCAAATTTAAGTAATTTAACGAAAAATTGAATAGCTGAAAATTAATTTTAAACAGAACAAATAAATAAAAGATTCGTCGTCAACTTGAATGAAATGATGTTATAAAATTATTATTAATGTTACAAAGTTTTTTTTGTAAATTAGACAGCTACGAGCATAGCTTATAGTTTATTCATGAAGGTTGTGTTTCTTATGTTGTTAAATATAAAAATAATAATACATATATACTAAATTGATTTATTTGTACAGCTTACGAATAATAAAGATTATTATGATAGTTGATTTGTAATAGTCCATTACTTGAACATATATAAAATAATTTATTAATTATTTATTTATATTTAGAATAAAATTATTTTCCTATCAAAAAATGTATTTTAGTACATGAATTTTATTTTGAAAGTCAAGTGAATTATCGCTAAGTATACCATCGTCACCATCTCCTGAAATCTACTATACTATCATACAGCATTTTATTATTATTTGTCAAAGATAACTATGTCGGTAGAGATTTTTTTACGGTTCGTTTTTTTTTTTTTTTTTTATTACTTTTTATACCAAGAATAATTATTAGATTTGTAATATCTTCTACGTGTGTCGATAAAAAAAAAAAAAAAAAAAATTAACTACTAAAAGATAATTGGCAGAATAATTTTATTTTTAAATGATATAGTTCGTATGTTATATGAATAAGAGAGTCATAAAGGGATTCGAACCCTCAGCAAAAGTCTGTGTAGCGAATACAATACGTCTAACTGGAACGTGTCTATCATGTTGTTAAGAATATATTTTTATCAACGCGTCATTGTTGAAGTTTTTTTAAAGAACAACACGTGTGTCTTGTATAAAATAATACCAGTACAGGAAAAAAATCGTACGTTCACGTGTATTTTAGAATATTGCAGTTGTATATAACAATGATAACGGTAGCTACGGACTGTTCTTGTGTATATTTCTTCATAAAAATAATAGTGTTTTAATATTACCACGGTAGAAAAAATATGATACGACAAGGAAAACCATTAGAGTGAAAATCTGCCATGACTCGATCCACGCGCCTGACCTTTGTCGACCTTGGCCACAGAACGGTGTAGTTAAAACGCGATTGCCCGGTAGGGTTCGTAGACCCTTTTCAAAAGGGGTGTACGGTTTCTGAGGAGAGGAATTGTGTGTTCACAAATTACCTATACTGCTGCCAATGCCGTCGCCGGCCCGGGTTTTTAAACGGCACGCGCCAGTGACGTCAGAGTCCATTCACGTATATTTGCTGAGCCGGTCGATCGATGCGCATGTACGGGCGAGATAACACAATAACCTATGAATTCATCAATTTTAAAGAAAACTCTTGGAGATTAATTACGATCGGTTAATGGTTCGTACATTGTACTTTTTGTTCAGAAAACTAGTGAAAAAACAAACTAGTCCGCATTTAGTAATATTTGTTTAAAGAGCCACCTAAATCGATAGACTCCCAGTAGACGTTATATTTTTTATCTCATTGCTTTATCATGAATGAATTTTTTCTTTGGTACAAACACACCCCTTCGCCACAAGTTAGACACATAACGTCATTACATAGAATTGTCCGCGTTGTACGTCTGTGCCTTTGGGAATTTTATGACGCTAAACAAGCCCATTAAAAAAGGGTTATAAATAACTAGCGACAAATTTTGTAGGTTACACAGATCAGTTGAAAAAGTATCGAAAAGTAATTAAGGATAGTTTTATTTGCGCTACTACAAATACGACATCATAAACAAATTTACTATTATAAGAGTTATACAAATTTTTATTACATTTATTATTCTATAGAAATTTCGCTTCGGTTTTATAGAAAATTGTCGACATAAAAATGTATTTTACACAATCCTTAATAACACACTTTTATGAAAATTAATTCTTAATTCTTATTTAAGTCTCAAATGTAATATTTATTCAAAAAATTCCAACTCTTTAATTTATTGCTGTGGTGTTTTGCGTGTATTCCATAAAAATTAAACCATGTCCTACTTTTTTGTTCATAAATTTTTTATGAGATAAAATTATACATTTCCAACTTAAAAATTACTAGCATGTTGCTTATTTAAAAGTAGGCTCTCGAAATATTAGTATTAGTATCAGTTCAAAATTAGCGTAATTACTTTTTTTTTGTTACCTCATAGTCGATTGAATTTAACTATCTGATAAAAATTTTAAATAGTCCAATTAACGTGCATTTCAATAATAGATTTGGATCATTTTCAACTAAATTAGGATTGATATCCATTACATTCTAGATTAACCCTGTCGTTGAAAAGTCAAAAAAAAAAATTTATCAGCAATTTCATTGAAAACATATCGTCACATAAGATCAGCTGAAACTAATCTGTTCTCGTTTTGTTGTCACTCAGTGAGTTTGTACAATTTTCATATTAGTATGAAAAACTTGTTTTCAAATTTTTAGATTTATTTCAACGTACTTCGAGTATACGTCACGTTGGATATGTTTGACTCGTTTTCAATGAACCTTTACAAACGCAAATGGAATTGAGGAAATACGTATTTTGTCGATCGTTACGGTTTTATGTACTTTTTTTTTTTTATAATTTTTATATTTACACGGTCTATTTGTTAACAATACAATGTAGGCATTGGTTTCACTAAAACAATACTATTAAATAATGTAAAATTCATTTGCTATCATATTAACTAAAAGGGACCTTTCGTTCGTTCGTTACCGACACTACGATAACAATAATAATATCGTAGACATATTCAATTATTGAAGTGTAATTAATAATAATGTATGTTTTTATTCTTAAAAAAAAAAAAA